ACGCAGTCATGAATACGCGTATTGCTCAATTCTAATCCATTATTCCATTTTGAAAAAAAAAAAAATATATATATATATATATATATACAATTAAAATTATTTTACATATAGTAATGACAAGGATGCATGTTTAGACACTGCTGCTATCAAGAAATTGTATCAAGAAAGAGTGACGATTATAAATTACTTTAAAAGGTAAGACGAGTGTACAAAAATTCGTCGTATAGTTGTCATTGCCGTTTCCGCGCGTTGAAAGTGACAAATGGTCGAAAACATAAAGAGCACCGTTTCTTAGAAGGGCCGACAAACGCACGCGTTCAAGGGTGTTTGAGAAACATGCGTGATATATTGGGCTTTACATGCGTGCTTTATCGGGCTCTAAAGCCGCGTTAGGTGAAATAGACGAGCATAAAGCATGACGCATAAGCTTTGTAACTTGTTGTTTCATGATACAATCTCGTTTGGAGATGACGATGGAGTTTTACGAGCTCTCGAGCACGTAGAACGCGAAATAAGTTACGAACCGCGGAAGGATAATGCCCCCGAATAACTTCAAGAAGATCCTGCGAATCGTCAAGATCTGATTTTTCCATCGCATATGCAAGATGTATTCTTTTCGTTCGCTTCGTGTGCCTGCACTTTGACGATGCACATGACTCTTTATCTTTCACTCTTTTCTTAGTTTCCTCCTATTTATATACTGTGAAGAGCCTCGTTATAAGTATCGCATGGTTAATATCATGCTTTGAGAAAAATTCTCAACAAGAGTAGAGTTGATGGAAAAACAGGAAATTGATATTAATGTATCCCGCTAACCCTTCACACGTTACTCATAATTGTTATGCGTCCTGTTGTATCGTATTACATCCTCATACCGATAATGTAAGGGTAAAGCGAACGATAATCAATTATTCAACGCACATCGAAGATTCCTAAAGTTGTATACTTTGAAAGATTCATAAGAATATACCTTTGACTCAAGAAAAGTATTCCGAGTATTTTTTACTTTATAACATTGTATAAAATCTTTATTGATATATATGTATCTATTAAACTCTCAAAATAATTATTTAAATTAAAAGATGAGAGAATCTTTCAGCAGTATCTATTATGATAGAATAAAATAATTAATTATTTTAATAAAAATATATTTTATTTCATCTAATTTTTTATTTTAATTATATAATAATAATGAAAAACATATAATAACGTAAAATAATTTATTACCATTTTAAACATGATTGCATGGGAAATATTTTGCTAAACACTCGCGAGAAATCTAATAATAGCCTACGCCAAGTTCAATATTATCTATGAAGATCAGAGAGATGAGCACGTTGTACCAGACAGATGCAAATGATTGCATCCGTTACACGCGGTAGTCGAGACAATAATTCATAATACAGCTGAATGTATCATAATATCGCGGTCATACGATGGAAGGGAGAATCGCAATATGCGAATGGCCGCGGGTCTCTTGCACGATTTCTCTATTGTTTACGAGCCATTGTGTCCATAATCGTAGGCCAAAGGCCAAGGAGACGGCAATACGACACGTCGCGGTGTTTCTTTCCGTGTGCATCGTGTGCACAGCGCGCGACATTGCAGTCTTATCTGATCCGACACGAGAGAAATGTTTTGTCGCCGTGCAAACAACTCTTTCCCTTTGTCGGCGAGATAGATGGGATTTTCCCGCGCCGGATTGTTCCGCTTTATTGCATCGTGTACTCGCGACTATTTATACGTTCCGTTAATGAAATCTTGCGTTTCACTTGGCGAACGATTCTTCGTTTCGATCGCTTTTGGCGATACATACCGTGAAAATGAAAGTTAGCACGCGTTGTTACTCTCGAGCTCGAGCGCACTCGAGCCTTCCTCTTTGGTCTCCCGTAGGTGACAAGTGACGAGAATTTTTATAGTATGGCAAAGAAGTAAACAGATCGAGCTTGTTTTCGTTGGAAAGTAATAATGACGTTTATGGCGGTATGATGAGATGTATTTGGATGAATCAGACTTCGATCTCGTTCTTATCATTTGTCTACTTATATAACTTCGTTGTAATAAAATAAAATCAAAATTTCAATCAATTTCTCAAAAATTTTAGGTTTCAGATTTTTTAATATTGTATTTTTCAAATTTTGTAAAAACAAATAATAAACTAATGTCAAAACATAATAACATTCATCATAATAAAGTGTGTAATTTCGTATTATATAATTACGTCAGCCATTCATACAGTTAACAAGAATGTAAAGTTGAGCTAATTATTATAATTGAATTTCTCGACTCGATCGAGCTCGTGATATGCAATATATTCAATATAATATCCGGTTCTTACAGTATTAACGGCGAAATTGAAAGTGCACAAGTATTATTTTCCATTTTGCCTTTGCAAGCATATTATAACGAGACACGTGTAAGAGCTTTGAATATATTATTACAATATTCATGCGTATATTATATGTCGACGTCGTAAAATAATTTTCTGGAGACATTAATAGATAATCGAAGATGAAAGTGGTTGTACCAGGGCATTAGCCTTGCAAGGACGAACGCGATCATTATTCACTACCGTCTTCTTGCTACTTGCTAACTTTATGTACTCGCATGTACGAACATATGTTTTAGAAAATCTAACGTGACATCTGGGCTACATTAAAATATTTGCATTAACATTATATCTTCTCACACACATTAAATAACAAAAAGATTCAAAAATTGATTTATTTGATTGCAAATAATTAATTTTTTATTTGTCATATTCCAAGAGGCAAAATTATTTACTTTATAAAATCTTTGAATGAAAAAGAAAATATGGGAAACTCGAGGCACCTTGTATGTAATCAACCGGATAATTAATTCTTGTGGAGGCGTCGCGCGTGATATTTCGTCGTTCTAATTCCTGCAACGAGCGTATGGGCGTACTATAATTCGTTATCAGACAGTCGAGCTTATCAGAAACACTGTATATCGATCCAGTTTAACATTGTCGAATCGACGTACTCCGATGTAAGTCACGTTGGCGCTTTCCGGTGCGGAATTTCGCGCGATTTATCGACACGTTCGTGCGTTCATCGTTTTTCTGAAATTAGGCCATGGTTTCTGAGCTCGCGCGAAGTCACTGACTTTACTTTCCATTCAACGACGACACCGCCGCGCCGCCGAGTCTCCCTACACTGTACGTGAGTAGCCTCTAAGTGATCCCTTCGAGCTCGCCGAGGTGGTTTTCTGTCACGAAGAGGAACGTGCTTTCATCTTGATTCGACTGCGATGTGAAGATTTTTCTCACTCGCTCGAACACTTATATTCACTTTGTCTTCCTCTAATCAGTTTGTCGAAGGACTGTTTGATTGGTAGACGTTTTGCGCACGTGGACCTCAATAAAGATCTCCGAGAATTTCCTTTATCAATAAGTATAATTATGTTTCGTAACTTGAAGTAATACTTTTGATTTGAGAAAATTATAACAAGTAATAAGTTGAAAACTATTTGACGTAAGAGATTTGACTTGAATGATTTTGAATAAAAAGTGAAAGCCACGCATAATTTCATATTACATCATGTTTCATAATTATTATTGTACGTGCATATAGTTAAATTATTAATTTATGATGTTTATACAACGTGATATCATCAATTGAAATCAAAGAAAATTGTTGAGCGAAAGTTCTTTTATGAGTTCTGAAACAATTCAATTATAAAATACATACATAATAAAATTAACAAATGCGTTTATTTTATCGGTAAATATAGATATCTATCATAAATATGTTTATTATCTTATATATCGCTCGGAAGATAATGTTTCCACAGAGATATCTCTTTAAGATACCGATATAAAGATAATGAATGTGCAAATAAATACAAAGCGTAGATTGCAATATAAAAGCGGAACATTAATTCTTTATCATATATTATATTAAAGATTCTGCAAAATTTAAGGTAAAATTTTAAGCGAGCGGCAAGTAATATTTCGAGAAGTCGAGAAAGTGGCATTTAAAAAAATTATTATCCAAGCGATTTACCGGAAATATTGCGCATCGAATATCTTCCGCTCACAGAACAATTAAAAGTTTGTGGGGACGACAGACAAGAAATTGCGGGAAGACTATCGTCAGACCAGAAATCCGGGATACGAAATTAGCTCGCCCGTCGCGGGCGCGTCATGAAAACTATGTTTAAGGAGGTTTAATACCTTTCTGCGGTTTAAAACGCGACAAACGTTCGGCGCCTAAAAGCCCACTCTGCACCATCCGCGTATAATAATTCTTTCAACGTACGAACGTGGATGATATATCACGACAGTGTCGTCACAAATTTCTTAGTCACGTGGATAACTGTCAATTAGTAAAAAAAAAATACGTACCGCCAAATTCTATTTTATTCCACGCATATAATATTGTATATAATAATAGATTTGTCTAAAAGTCTTAAATAATTCAATATTAATTAATAAATAGCTAAACAAGTAGCACAATTAAACAAGTTAACTGCAGAAATTATGTTGATGAATTATAGAAAGTATCGAAAAAGTCTGAGAGAAAAGATATTCGCGACTAATTAATCTCTCCATAACTCGCAATCCTGTGTAAAAGAGAATGTTTTTGCATTTTCGCGCCCCCATTTATTAAATGCTAATTGCTACATCTTAATTAATGAAGATCTTATTGCAAACTTTCCTTCAATTGAAATGACTTAAAAAACAAAGAGAAGTCGAGAAGCGGCTGATTAGGTTGTACGATTTTTGACGAAGGTATCTGAAATGATTAGAAAATTATATAATTATTCCGAGAAACTACAACGTCCGTGCGGTTGTGCAATAATTACAATTAGGGCGTGCAGACAGTTGTTTCGACTTTCGCTCGAAAAATCTATCGCTCTCGGAATTTCTTCCTCTTCACACATTTCTTATATATGTACGAGCACAAAAACGCGATGCAATGTATGAGTCTCTTCATGACATTTACGCGACTAACGTACGATTTTATTTGCACTTTCAGGATTATGGAAACGCGAATCTGCAAGTGTGTCTGACGATCAGCCGGGATCATGGCCCTGACTGTCGTTCCCTCGACTCGTGTTTTCAATGGAAATGGTGAGTCACTTTTAATAAAAGTGCATATGTCTATGGAGATCGTTGGCCATAATTGAATCGGAAATTATAAGCGTGGAATATAAGAATCTATCTACTCAATATTATTTTATATTCGAAAACAATATCTATGATATTTAAATAAAAGTACGAGAAAGATAACAATAATCATCATTGTTATTATAACACAAGATTATTTTTCTTATATAATTTTATTTATTTTAAAAACATTAAATTTTATTTCATAGATACTATAAAATTACCGCTATTATTATTATTTTGTCTAACATTATTTTCATTTCTTATACGTAATTATATGTAAATAAGAACAAAGACACCTGACTGCACATAATTCAGAATATGTGACGCGGAATACTTCGAAATGTGTCGAGGCGGAATTCATTAAGTCATTGCCACGTATGTTGTGATACTACGAGCGGTATGACACTAAATGGAATCTCCATATTCTTCGACTAACGAACTTTGCGAGATTATTATAAGTATGTTTCTCTGGATAGTTGCCAATGGTTACAACATATTTCGGTTTACATTGCGCTATGGCCATTAACCTCGAATAAAGAGTCATCGACGAAAATATCACCTGATTAATTCCAATTTTAATTCTAATTAAAATAATTAATAGATTTCCAATCCAAAATCAACCAAAAACTTTCTTAAATCACGATCGAAGTGTAAACAAAACAATTCCCAATTGTTGATTATTCTAACAATTAATTTAATCATCATTAATAATTAAAAATTTTGATTAATATTAATAACCAATTATATATTACAATTTGAAAATTTTTTCGAGTAAGAAAAAAAAATTGATATTATTAGATAAAATAATATCATTAATTATGTATATATTTTTTCAACACGCACATAAATTAATCAAAATAAATAATTAATGAATTCAATTTTAAATTTAGATTTAAGGCTGAAACATGCGCTTTTCGAATAAACAGAACTTGCAGAAATTTGTGTTATCTTGATGGCGCAACCTTGACCGTTGTCTCAATAATAAATGCTCATCTTATCGGAGATAAATGTAAAGGCAAACGAAATGTTCTGAGGTAAAATGTTTTTGCTTGTAGTGGGGACGCAGGCGTACGTTTCCGGTTCGAAATGCCTTTGTTGCCCTTATGGATATCACATCGATCTGGATTTCGTGCGTTATTGCGAGGCTGTCGCAGCCGGAAGTGCCGGGGACAGGCCCTGCACGGAACGGCGTAAGAAGCGAGAACGTCGTAGACAATGTCAGTCAATGGAGGTTCTTCTTGGCCTGGTAATTAGTTAGCAATATCTCTAATTACGTGTACTGAAAGCACCATTCTATGGTGCTTAACAAATAATAAAACCGTGATTACTATATATATAGTTCAATTTTATGAGAGAATATTTCCTATAGCGAATAAGTAAAGAATAATAATATAATATAAATAAATAATAATTAATGTCACATTTTAAATATCTTATATGTTATTTATTATATTTATTATTATAATGAATAATATAAATTTTGCTTTAATGATGTCGATAGTGGCATTTAATTAAAAAGGATTTAATATTTATTTGACGTAAGTAAGGTAAATTATGATAAATAATAATCGGTTGATGATATTCTGTATTATAGATAAAAATAAAAGACGTAGAGCTTACATTTAAATGCCATTTCTAATTCCATGTTTTAAAAAATTGCAATGATTTTAACCATGTATCAAATTACTCGCGCCTAGTTTGTTTTCACTAAAATTTATCGATTTACTTTGACGAGATAAACGAGATGTTCATCGCAAGACGACGAAACCGTGAAGATTCAAGATAAATCACTCGACAAAATCGCGATGGAGTGTACTAACCTAATTTATATCGGACGTGGCGAACAAGCGTCCTCGTGTTAGATAGTTTCCTTTATTTTTGATTCTAGGTGAGTCCGGCACTGGCGGGCATAGAGGCTGAATTGCCGAAAATACCACAAGAATGTACGACCGCGAACGGGCTGACTACTCTGCCGAGATCAAATCATCCGCCGCCAAGACAGCAGAGAGATTTGCATCCCTCGCCAGTCGTCGATCTCAGCGATGTCGTGGGTGATTTCGAAGCAACCCTCAAGCGATCTTGCAGGTCATCGAAAACTTCCGATTGTCGACTTTTCACAGAAACCGGTAAAACATTGCTTCTCTTATCGATCGAAGAGCGAGAAATATTGCAAACATTAAATATTACATTATTATTAAACAATTACTATAGAATAATTATATAGAAATTTTCTAATTATAGTTTGATCTCTCTATTAAAATATCGCGACAGGAATTTGACGTTTGCAATTTGTCTTTTATTTAGAAACAATCGTCGTTAGAAATTTATCGCAGTAGAAACTTATTAATGAAACTTAATAAAATCCATTTCATGTCAAGTGCCTCGTCAGAAGACAAAGATCGTCGGAAGACAAAGAATTTTGATCTCTAAATTAACGGTAAAATAATTCAAATTTATCATGAAAAATCGGAGCATTATTTTGAAAAAAAAAAAAAAAAAGAAAAAAGAAAAATGCTTTCGCGACCATGATGGTAATTCAATGAGTCGCACGACGAATTAAGCGGAGTAAATAAAAAGAGGTCTAATAATTTTTCATGCACATTGGATTTCTTCACGCTAAATCTGTTCGCGGCCATCTTAGGATTCTCCATGGCCCAATGACCTGCTATATAGCGAGCAAGCGGTGCGAGGAGAGAAATGGCCTCTTCCGTGTCTTTGAAGTCGCCACGGCATCGGAACACGTTAATTATTTCGTTATGTGATTGCCTTCTTATTATAGGCACCGATGTTGATTTCACGAGTTCTCACCTACTCGAATAAATCGTCGGAAATTGTATTGTTTGGAATCGTCGACGCGTTAGAAATTACTTGTGCGTAAGTTTTCTGCGTCTAAAGTGATAATTGAATAACACCTCGCCGATTGAAAGTGCGACTATAATTAATTAATTGCGAGAAAGCAAAGTAATATGCAATGTTTTTTTTTCACTATGTTTATAATATCTTCTGCGATGCAAATTCACGAGACGAATGCGTTTACTGTTGAATATTTTCTTTTCACCAAAATATTATTTTATAGGATTTAAAATGAAATGAAAGATATACGTTATTTTTTATCTTACGCTAAATTATTCGAATTAAGAATTTAGAACAGTCTCTCTCTTATTTTCTTGAAGAAATTTTTCTCAAGCGCAATTAAAATCAAAACTTGCTAAAATAATTTAAAATTTCTTATTAATTTTAGTTAATTTGTTAAATCAAGAAAAGAAGTGTGCAAAGTGATATGCTTACACAGAGTTTTTTTTTTACATTATTATATAAATTTATAATGAATGACTTACCATCGTGTGCGGTAAAGAATTTTCATAAGAATATTATAAACTCTGAACTTTATAACTACTTTAAAGGTACCGCTTGTCTTTAATTACGAAGAAATCGTTCGTGCCAAACATTTTATTTCGCAGGCTCTTAATTTTATCAGATGTTTTAAAAGTGTCGCTTCGATCACCGTTATTTCTTTTAAACGCTTTAAAAAGATATCTTGTCTCGTTTTGGTAAGTCAACTATCTCGTAACGGCTTTTGCAGTGGTTTCCAAACTTTTGCATTCTGTGATTAACAAAGTATTCTCTCATAATAAATTTAAATCGAATGATGTAAACATAGAATATAATATAACTGACACTCTACTATTGAATACTCAATAAATCTATATTAGTTTTAATTAAATAAAATTTTAATGCAAAGAACATATTACGAATATTTATAATAAATTATAAATAATAGTTATTTATAATTATTTATAAAACAAAGAAATAATTATATTATACATAAAAAATTTATTCTAATTTTATCAAATGCATAGATATTTTAAAACAAATGTCCTAAATATTAAAATATAAAATTATAACTGAATAAGAATAAACTTTTCCTCTCGAGATAAATGCAATAGCACGAAGTTCAGAAGCCATTGGGTGAAAAACATTTATCTCGTAGTTGAGTCATATGTTTTTTTTGCGACTAATTAAGTAATGAGACAGTTGATATCATTATGATTTTTTATTTTACCATTAATCACATTCCGATAATCTCGAAAACATCAGACCACTTTGCACGCGCTTCACTCTCTCTCTCTCTCTCTCTCTCTCTCTCTCTCTCTCTCTCTCTCTCTCTCTCTCTCT